ATAAAATAAATTTTAAGGTCTGTCTCCTCTGCTTCTTCTATGTAGTGCTTTTCAGGTCTTGCTGGTGTTGGTATCCTAGATTCTGGTGGAGTCATGTTGGTCTTTTTATTGCCGAGTGAGCTCTTATTCTGTCTTCTTCCCATCTCCACTTCCCAGTGGGTGCTGGTGGGGTCTTTCCATCTCCACTGGTCTCCTTCCTTCCTGAAGCTGAAGCTGGGGATGCTGACACTGAAGCTTAAGCTGAAGCTGGGGTTGCTGGAGGTTGGGGCCTGGAAGGGCTGATGTCTTCCTGAAGCTGCGCTCGTTGGAGTTTGGGGCCTAGAAGGGCTGATGTCTTTCCTGTGTGGGCCGGTCTTCTGGATGCCAGGAGCAGCCCGGGAAGATCGAGGGGATGGGTGTTGGGGGGGGATGGGCGCCGGAGACCCAATCTCACCTGAAGCTACCATCTCTGGTATTTTTATGTGTTTATTTTCCAATTGCATTTCTTTGATAGGATGCTTTTTTTGAGCGGGGGTGCTCAAGATAGGGTTTCTCTATGTAGCCCAGGATGTCTTAAAACTCGCTCTGTAGACCAGGCTGGACTTGAACTCACAGACATCCACCTGCCTCTGTCTCCTGAGTGCTGGGACTAAAGGTGTGTACCACTGCCCGGTGAATACTTACTTTTTGAATTGTTGCTGAACAGTTTTAGATTCACAAAGAAGTTGAGCCTGTTCTACAGTATCTCCATATCCCCATGCATGCGCACAAGGATGGTGTGGTGTTGTGTTGTGGTGGTTTGAATGAGAGTGGCCCTGTAGGCTCATGTATTTGAACACTTGTTTCCTGGTTAGTGGAACTGTTTGGGAAGGATTAGGAGATGTGACTTTGGAAGAAGTGTGTCACTGAAGATGGGCTTTGAGGTTTCAAAAGCCCAGGCTGTTCCCAGTTAGTCCAGTCTCTCTCTGCCTCCTACTGGTAGATGAGGATGTGAGACTCAGCTACTGCTTTAGCATCCTGCCTGCTGCTGCTGCGTTCCCAGCCATTATGGTTATGGACTCACCCTCTGAAACTGTAAGCCCCAACAAACTCTTCTATATAAGTTCCCTTGATCATGGTGTCTCATCACAGCAATAGAAAATTTTGATAGTTAAATTTTATGGGATTTTAAAATCAGCGTGGAGACAAATATATGAGCATTTCCATGAAGAATTACCTAAACTATGTTAATTGAGGCAGGAAGACCCGCTCTACTTATGGTCACTTCCATTCTTGGGATAGAGCCCAGATCTGAATGAAAAGAAGAAAGTATAGGGCTGAGTGTAAGTACTGGCTGTTCGTCCAGAGGTCCTGAGTTCAATTCCCAGCAACCACTTGGTGGCTCACAACCATCTATAATGAGATCTGGTGCCCTCTTCTGGCCTGCAGAAAACTGTATGCATAATAAATAATTCTTTTTTAAAAAAGCCAGTATGTATAAGTGATTATTTACCCAAGTCCATACTTTATTCATATTATTGTACTTCAAAACCTTTTTGTTTGAGGGTCCTATTTAATCCTCTTGTCATTTTAGGATTGTCTAGTTTGTGCCAGTGGCACATTCTTGTGTTTGGTATTGGGGGTGATTTTAGGAAATGCAGATATAGACTGTGGGTTTAGAAGTGAAAGATCCCATCAATAACAGTTACCTTCAGAGGAGCACTGTGTTATTTACTTATAATCTCAGCCCCTGGAGATAGAAGTATAATTTTTAGTACATTATATCAAGGAAGGACCCATGCTGTCAACATACATTAGTACTGGTTGATTTTGCCTCACTGCAAAGTTACTCTCCTCCCTTTTTCATACTTTAAACTCTTTAAAACACAAGTTGAGGGCTTTATTTAAAAAATAAAGATGGCTGAGTGATTAGGAGCACTGACTATTCTTACAGAGGACCCAGATTTATTTCCCAGCACCTACACATTGGAATATAATCATCTGCAACTTCCGGCCTTCTAAGTCATCAAGGCGTACCTATATACATTCAGGAAAAACACTCATACACAAGTAAGCAAATAGTAGATGCTAAAAAAAAGGCTGCCTTAAATTCTGCTTCAAAGTCTTGTGAAATTTCAGAATGTGTGCACAATTAGGGACCAGAGTATTTATTTTGCTTTCCAGCTATGCACAAACCTTTCCCCACCTACCTTTTCCCATAACGACTTGAAAGTATTTGCTTCCTGCCACCTCCCTAAGATTCTTGATTAAGTGGAGGCTGAATGTGTTGCAGCAAATCTGAACTTCACTGTCTTGCACAGAGGAAAGCCACCAGCATCAAATGGGGTAGATGAAGACTTTCTCATTGTTCCTCATGTAATGAGGATACAGCTGCCTTGATACTAAACATATGACAGGGCATTGTATAGCATCCCATAGAAAGAATAAATAAATTATGACGATGCTCAGGCTGAGAAATTCATGGGTAGATTGTTGTTTAGGATGATAGAAAATTAGATTATTTCACAGTGCTCAGTACTGTGAGGGGAATTGGAGGTGGCCTTTAGCTAGTAATTGATATTTATGCTAACTGTTGACATCCAGCACACATTTATCCATCCAGTGCTTGATGCCTCTACCTATTGTAGATGTCTGGGAGTGTAGTTTAGTGGCAGAGCTAATTGTTTGTACTGTTCTGGGTTCAATGTTAATAACAAGTAGCAAACTTGTTACTCCCCTAGCTTGTCTGTGAGGTGATGCTAGCCTTGTGCCTGCCAGGCAAGCCTTGTATCGCTACATTTTACCTGCAGCCTGTACTCTGGATAGTTTTAAATGGTATTCTAACCTAGATACCATTTTAACTGTTTCCATGTCCAGTTAGTGAAGAATCGAAGAGAAAAGACAGGCAGCTCTCCTAATACTGCAAGCACTGTCGCAGGTAGTGTTTACACATGGTAGTTAACCCTCTATACAGAGCTGAGGTAAGTGTGCTTACCATGCTTTCTACAAATAAAAAAAGAAAGAAAGAAAGAAGGAAAGAAGAGAAAGGAAGGAAGGAAGGAAGGAAGGAAGGAAGGAAGGAAGGAAGGAAGGAAGGAAGGAACTGAGGCTCAGAGAAGCAAGTACCATAATATTGAGGAGCTTCAGAGTCCTGGCTGGCCTTGAATTTGTGGTAGGCCTCCTGTCTCCCTTCTGCAGGCATCACAGGTGTGTCTGTAGTTATGTTTACATTCACACAAAAGGTAGGTTTTTGCTGTTGTTGTTTATTTGCTTGCTTTATTAGTTTCATGACAGTGGTCTTAATACTAACTCAGAACTGAAAGGAGTGAACTAAACTTCCATGTTCCTGTTACTCAGGAATGCAACCCAATCTTACAGAAAGGCAACTGGGTTGTTTTTGTTTGTTTGGTTTTGTTTTTTGTTTTTGTTTTTGTTTTTTTGGGTTTTTTGAGACAGGGGTTCTCTGTGTAGCCCTGGCTGTCCTGGAACTCAAGAGATCCACCTGCCTCAGCCTCAGTACTAGGATTCAAGGCATGTATGCCACTACTACCTGTCTCAGAAAGGCAATTACAAGCCATTGGATTTAGGACCATTCAGTGTGCAAATTAATCTTACATAAAGTTCTACACATAATTGTTTTTTCTTACTTGTTTTTGGCAGTGCTGGGGATTGAACCTGTGATTTCACTAATGCTAGGAATGGGCTCTACTATTGAGCTGCAGTCCCAGCTCTGACTGTTCCTTTTCAAAGAGCTATTTTATCTATAATATATCTAATTTCAGGTAATAAAACAATCATTGAATAATAAGAATGTTGTAATGATAGTTTACTAGTGTTAGATTGGATGGATGGATGGATGGATGGATGGATGGATGGATGGATGGATGGATGAGTTTTACAATACCTAGCATTGATCCCAGGACCTTGGATATGCTAGGCTAGTGCTCTACCATTGAGTACTAGCCCTCTTTTCGGTTTTTGTTTTTTTTTCCCCTCCAGTTTTTTGAGACAGGGTTTCTACGTGTATCCTAGACTGTCCTGGATTTGTTATAAATCAGGCTGGCCTCACACTCACAGAGATCTTCTGCTTCCCAAGTGCTTGGATTAAAGGCATTTACTACCACAACCTGACTGTAAACTTATTTATGTGCATAGATATTTTGCCTGCATGTATGTCTATGTAAGGGTGTTGGATCACTCAGAACTGGAGTTACAGGCAGTGGTGAGCTACCGTGTCAGTGCTGGGAATTGAACCTGGGTCCTCTGTAAGAGCATCCAGTATTCTTTTTTTTTTTTTTTTTTTTTTTTTTTACGAGACAGGGTTTCTCTGTTTTGGAGGCTGTCGGTCCAGCCTGGCCTCGAACTCACAGAGATCCGCCTGCCTCTGCCTCCCGAGTGCTGGGATTAAAGGCGTGCGCCACCAACGCCTGGCGCATCCAGTGTTCTTAATGGCTGAACCATCTCTCTAGCCCTCTTTTCAGCTTTTATTTTTGAGGTGCCTAATCTGACCTGGGACACACTTTGTAGCTCTGACATTCTGTGATCTTGCTGTCCTGCCTCAGCCCCTGAGTAGCTTGTGTTACAAACTGGAGCCACTAGAGCTTCCTAGTGGTGTTTGAAAAATGACAACTTTAAAAAGAATTCTTGTTTTTTAAGACTGGTTTTTCTGTGTAGCTCTGTCTGTCTCAGAACTAACTCTGCAGACCAGAGATCTGCTTGAAAATGGCAGCTTCTTAAGACTGAATCAAGTTCACATTTTCTGTGTGTTACTCAGTTATCTAGTATATCTGGGAATGCCAAGTAACATATTAAGAAGGTGTTTTGTTTTGTTTTCAAAATTGGCTGCTCTTTTTGGTCTCTTTATCATAGTTTGCAAATTAACAAAATGCTGGTATGGCTTATTAAGCATTTTGATTATCTTTTTGAACCGAGTCTTCTGTCATCATTGGATGCATGATGAAATTCATTTAGGTAGAGCAGCTTTTTAATTTTTAGTTTTTAAAATTACATACTGATTTGAGTTTCTTTCTCTTCTATAAAAGGAAATGTACACAGTACAACTGGAACTCTGCCAGAAGAAGACACAGAAGGTATGAAAGCCAATGGGACTAAGGGATAATAATGAAGGACACAAGGGCGGCACTGTGAGTCAACACCAGCCGTAGACAATTCATGACCCTCATTGAGCTGTGTTACCCTAGAACCTCCAATCTTGGGGACCCTGAATTTAAAAAGGTGCTCTTTAAGAAAACCATGTGGAGAATTACTAATTGCCCTTTTACTAATTGTCCTTTTTGGTTGTCATTACCAGGGAACTGTGCCATTTCCAAGATGAACAAAGTGAAGGAAGAGTTGTGTGACTTAAACCTTGTCTGTGAAGCAGAAGATGGTCACCAGCAGATTCTCAACCACTATAAGGAAAAACTCAGTTCTGCACACGATCGTTCCACCACTGCAGGAAGCAAAGACTCTATAAAACCCTTAGCAGAAAATTCTAAAATTTTATATCTCACATCATATTTATCTGGCCCCAAATCCTTAGAAAGAAGTCGTTTTGAAGACAATGGTTTAATAAAGGAATCTGCTGAAAAAATACACAAGGTTGAGCAAAGCAAGAACTTCGCTTGTAGAGAAGAAAGTAAAGAACAGTATTGCAGGCCCAGGAGTGAAAGAGGAGGTCTCTTTCTTTCCAGTGTCAGACAACAAGAGCAGGATGGGTCTGGTGAAAAACAAGCTGTGGAGTCCAGTAATCACAGTAACTGTAGCATTCAGGCTAGGTCCTATATAGAGAACTATAATTCTGTGCCTAATTCTTTTACTGAAGCAACAGAAATAATGTTTAAAAAAAATGATCTGAAAATTCAAGGTAATTTGGTAAATTCCGAGGACCATAGAAAAACTGTCAGTGATGGGAACCATCCTGAGAGACACTCTGAGGAAAGCAGTTTGTCCTTGTTGATGCATATTGAAGAGCCAGAACAAATAACAGAAAAGTCCAGTGCATTAAATGAAAAGATTTACAATACAGACTCTAAGTCTGTAGTCAGCATCCAGAGAAATCTGGATGATTCTCTGCCAAATAAAGCATCATGCAGTGATTTTCTGTCTGGAAGAAAATTCCTTCAGAATTTGATACCTGCAGATTCAGTAAGTTTTGAACATAATGAAATATCAAAACCCAAGAAGGGTACTGCAAAATTATCACCATGTCCAGAGTTTGATTGTAAACCTGCTTCGGAAAAGTGTGTACAGGCCTCACATGACATTTTACATTTAGGTGAACCAATCATTGCCAGTGAGATGAGTGAACTTTCTTGTAACAGTGAACTGATTGTGCACAAAATAGAACATGAATGTGTTTTAAATCAACAAGTGTCCCTTAATTCTCAAGAGCATGTGACATTATTAACTGACTCTCTACTAGATCTAAACAGAGAGATGCCTTCAGCAACAAGCAGAGATGCTCAACAGAGCCATCATTCTCTAAAGAGTGGAACAGATGTTACCACCAATACTCAAACCATTCCTGCTGAGACAGAATTGGAAGCCATGTCTCCACAAGGTGACAAAACCTGTGGTGCCTCTTCATACATATACACCTTAAATGTCAAAATAAGAAGCCCAGAAGGACAAAAAGAAATGGCTGATTCAGGTATCAAAGAGCTACATTCCACATTCCTCTCAAGTGAGAAAGAAGCAGCTGGCTATTCCTTTGACACAGAATGTCAAAATGTTCAGTCTCAGGATACCTCCAGCTGTCCATGCAGAACAAGAAATGCACCTGAAAAGAGTGTGTTCTCTATATGTGCTGCCCTTGGACCCAGAAAAGATATCCCGAATGTCAGCAACTGTAAAATAAACTGTGGGAATGCATTTGAGTCCAGCAGTCACTGTTTCCAAAGACCCGAAGACTTTGTGGAAGATAGTACCTTCTTGGAGAGTGAACCTGCTGGGAGGGAGACTCAGAGCGGCATTGGAGGAGGCAGGGTTAGAAACGAGCTGACAGCAGGAGTGTCGGATAGTGGAGCTTTAACCACAGCTACTCATGCTAGCAGTCATGTGGAAACCAGTGAGGAAGGACTGGGTGAGAAGAAATGGGATAAACACAAAGACACTGCAGTTTATACACACATCACCTCTGCTTGTGACACACAAGAACTGAACCAATCGACAAACATTCCAAGAACTGACACACTAGTGGACCAGTCTCTGACTGTTGTTTCATCTCATTTTAAAACCATGTTCCAAGCAGCTGGAAGTCTTGACCAGAAAGCAGATGAAGTTTCTGACTGTCAAGGTAACCAAAATAGTCCAGACAAATGGAGAAGCGATGGTAAGCCAGCTTGGGAAGGACTAAACGGTGACCACCAAGAGACTAGCCCTAAGGGAAGCCGTAAGGAAAAGGATTTGATAGTTGGTTCAGACAGTAAAAACCTTGTGTTTTGTGGTAGTATAGAGAAAAAAGGTTCCAAAGGAGCCTTTGAAAATAGTCCTGGCTCTGAAGAGTTGACACACAGTGTGCTACATGTGTGTCCAGACTGCCCAGTTGAACCTACAGATGGTATGCTAAACATGGGAGCATCTAGTCTAGCTGGTCATTCTACAAGGCGAGATAAAGGCGAGACCTTAAGGAGTACCTCATCTCTTCGAGGAGAACTGAATGTTGTATTTATAGGTACAACTAGCCAGAACTCAGAACTCTCAAATGCTGCTGCTTCTACAGTAGACTCTCCTGAAATAGTAAAATCACGTGAAGAAAAAATATGCAGATCTCTAAAAGACTGTGAAATGGAAGAGCGTTCAGACTCTGCCATTGATCGTGAAGTAGAATCTGTTGCCGATAATGAGCCAGATATAAGAGCACTAGATAGAGGAGGCATGTCTTTAAATCATATTCATTGTGAGCATCAAGGTAAAGGAGGATCTGTGACAGAGGGACTAGGAGCAAATTCTGAGTTTGGTGAGAAGGAAACCTTTGAATTATCCTCAAAAGACTTGATGTCTTCTAGATGCCGAGACTCTGTTGACAGGCATTCCCCTCTGTCTTCTCAAGAACATTCACCCGCTGGTGTTCGTGGCAAAGCACCTAAATTGAAACATCTCTTTAAACCCAAAGATGGTAAAATGCTTCATGAAAATGTCAAGGATTGCACAGTTCAGTCTGACATGGAGGAAGGAATACCAGCCGATATAAGTAACCCTGGTGAAGAAGATGGCACAAATGTCAGTGTGGACAAAAATGTTTGCAAACCTTGTCATTCTGGTGAGAATTCCACAGATAAGTATTTGCCTTTGATAATGGAAACAGCAATTATAATAAATAAAGAGGAAAAGGGTATGCACGCACTGTTAGAACAACACATGTTGCCAGATGAGATGCAGAATAAGAAGCAACCTGTGGCTGACCAAGATGAGTCCATCATAATGGAAGAAGTCGCCCTAAGAAAGCCTACCAAGAAAAAAATGGCTAGACAGCTTCAGAGGTTGGAAGACCCAAAAGAAGAAAGCTTATGTCATCTGTTAAAGAGAGACATTGAATTATGCACAGGTCATCGGCTTCCTGGTACCTCCTGGAAAGAACATGACCCCAGCTCTGCTGGGGGTGATCAAATACATGGTGCCTTTGTGACACTGTCACATCAGCAAAGATTGCATCCTTTAAAGAAGCAGCCTCATCGAACATGTAAGAGAATTTCCTGCCTGGAGCCAGTCCCTGTGCGGAGAAAAATAAGTAAAGTGAGAAATTCTGATTGTGGAAAGAGTTCCTCTAACCCCATCCCCACAAAAGCACACAGACTTCTTAGCCCTTGTGCCGTGCCTGCCGCACCACTGGAACCTGAAGCAGTACCTAGCAAGAGCTTGCGTAGCCACATACCAAAGCTGAAGGCTACTCTGTGCCACCCCTTGAGGAGCCTGAGTTGTAGGAAGCCTACCAAAGAATCAGCCTTACTAAACAAGCTGTCTATCCTTGCCTCCAAACTGGTTCTGGCCACAAAGCCCCAGAAACTCAGATATCGGCGGTATTCCTCTTCCCTTGTTCCATTGGCTAAAAGCTACAAGCGATTCAGATATAAAAAGCTTCTAGATGGATTTTCACATAATGCAATGCAGCTGGACCCATATTTGGCAGCTGCTGGATGGGATAGGAGGTCTAACAGTAAGCCCTTGGCACTTTATTCTCTTGAAGCTGTCAAAATGAACTTCATAGATTTGAGCAACAAGATGCCATCACTGCTGTTTGGTACTGAAATCTTCCCATTTTCCTTTCATGTGAAATCAGTATCCAGTTGCACGGTTGAGTCCTCCAGGACTTTTCCTGAGCACTGTGCTCCATCAAGGCTTGCCTTAGAGACCTCCCAGTGCTCATCACCACCTCCCAAGTGGACCTTTTCTTTTTTCATGTCCCACGGATGCCCTGGGATGGCCACATTCAGGGAAGATGCTGGCTTCTGTAGTCAGACACACACTCAGGCTCCTCCACAGACTCCAGCTCCTCTCCAAGACTATGGAGGCACTGCCATAGTCCAGACCAGAGCGGACTGCTCTGTCCTTGGCCTTCACACACTTCTAGCACTTTGTTCACCAGGATGTTACCGAATCTGGACAAAAAAACGGAGCTTCTCCAATCACATGCCTACCATGCAGAGGCTCTTCTTGACCCAGTTTACACAGGGCTTAAAAGGGTTAAGGTCTCCAGCCTCTGTAGCAGACAAGGTCTTCTGCTCTCTGCCCTACTCAGTGGGCCGTGTGTTGTCCATTTGGAGCCAGCATGGGCCATCCTGTACCTTCCAGTTGCCAGCTCTTTATTCTATTCACAGCAAGCAGCAAGAGAGCCTGAGCACCCTAAGCAGGTAAGAGCTTGTCCCCTCTTTTTTCAGAACTGTGCTGGAGGCTTCCTGTGTCTACACTCGTGTACCTTGTAAAGCCTCAGTTGAGAGAGTGCAGCAGTAGTTCTTGACTTCAGAAGCCCCTAATATGCCCATAGCGTCTTCTCTTATACTTTGCACTGTTCTTTCCATTTGACTCTTCATGTCATAGTCTTCCCCACCCCCTCTGCAGTTGTGGAACTCACTATATAGACCAGTTTGGCCTACCCCTGCCTCCCAAGTGCTCAAGTTAAATTTATGTACCACAATTCCCAGTGTATGCCACCATCTTTCATTGTTGTTTATTTGTGACACTGTATCTTGGGGTGGCCTGGAACTCGAGAACATCTTGCTGCGGCTTGAGTGCCAGGATTGCAAGTATGAGCCATTTTGCTCCCCCTGTCTCTACATTTCTTTTGTAGTATATGCTTCAGAGGTTCCATTAGCTTCCCTTGGTTTGGGGACTTTGTAAAATTTGAAATGAAATGGACAGAAGTTATTATAGTTTCACTATTGGGAGTAGGGGAGAATAATTTGATCACGATTATTGTACCTTCTAAATGAAAATAGAAGAGGACTGGACTGGTGTAGCTTAGTGGTAGAATGTTTGCTTGGTTAGTATAAGACCCTAAGTTCAGTCCAGCTCAGAGAGAAAAGGAGGGAGGAACTTAAGATATAAATTTTCCTGTTCTGTTAGTTTCTAGGAGGTGATCGTATAGCTGGCGTAGAGTGCATGCTTAGCCTGAGTTACGATGCTGGAATCGACCTCCCACACACATGAAAACAATCATCAAAGAATTGTGTTAGACATCTCATTTTTAATTTCTTTTTACTACTGCTACAGCTGAATTCTATTTATTTATTTACTTACTTTTCGTTTTTCTAGACCAGGCTGGCCTCAAACTCAAAGAAATTCACTTGCCTCTGCCTCCCAAGTGCTGGGATTGAAGGCGTGCACCCAGCTACTGTTGAATTTTAGCAGTAACGCTTCAAGTCAAATCAAGCCCACCCAAAACCTGATATCTCAAGGCAAGCTACTACTAAGGAGTGAGCTGTCTCAAAAAGGCTCGCAGTTACGAGGACACCCGTTCGGTTTCTCTCAACCCTCCTCCTGTAACTCCAGTTCCCAAGGATATAGTGCCCTTTTCTGGCTTCTGTGGGCACATACATACGTACTGGCAAACAACCATGCACTAAATCATTTATTTATTTATTTATTTAAGTTTTTCAAGGCAGGTTTCTCTGTAGTACTGGCTGTCCTGGAACTCTGTTTAGACCAGGCAGACCTCAGACTCGTAGATCTGCCTGCCTCTGCCTCCCAAGTGCTGGGACTAAAGGCAAGTGCTGAGACTAAAGGTGTGTGCCACCACACCAGCTATGTAAAATTATTGAATTCATAAATAAATTAATGGGGTGCCTGCTGACAAGATGGTTCGGTGAGTAAGCCGCCAAGCCTGACAACCTGAGATGGATTTCTGGAACCCACATAGTGGAAGGAGACAAATGACAAGTTGTCCTTTGACTTCACACATACCATGATATACACATAGTGAACTCACAAAAAAGTAGAAAGTAAGAAAATATACTTTAAATGATGCTGGGCAGTGGTGGCTCACACATTCAATCCCAGCACCTGGGAGGCAGAGACAGGTGGATCTCTGTGAGCTCCATGTCAGCCTGGGTTACACAGAGGGACCTTGTCCTCAAAAACTTAAATAAACAAATAAAAATAATCGGATTATTTCAAATGATAGCATACTACATACATACTTCGGTCTGCATCTAGTATGTATACTGCCTCTAGTATGTATGTGATTGTTCTGTGTTATAAGTCTGTGGAACACAGCTTTAAACTGTGTTGTATCCCCTTCATGTCCACTCACTATAGTAGCCCTGAATTCATGACCTTTTCACTGTTAATTTCTTATACACTGTGCTGGTATTCAGGGTGTTAGCCTTGGTACCTTTTCTCTTTCAGAACCCTTTATCATCTGGGTTTTCTACTTCTAGAATATTTTTACTTCCTACATTCTATATGAAGCTTTCTATTTTATATAAATTTTCTTGTTTTCCATTTTTGGAGGTAAGGTCTTATACATATGTAGCCTGGAACTCAGGATTTTGTTTTATTTCAAATGAAAGGTAAATCGATAATGTTGCTGTGCAGTTTACTCATTGACTCTAAAAGTGACTTAAAATCATATGCCTAAGCTCACTTAATTTTTTATTGCTTTATTAAAATTTACTGATGAGCTGGGCAGTGGTGGCGCACGCCTTTAATCCCAGCACTCGGGAAGCAGAGGCAAGTGGATCTCTGTGAGTTCGAGGCCGGGCTGGACCGACAGCCTCCAAAACAATACAGAGAAACCCTGTCTCGTAAAACAAAAACAAAACAAAACAAAAAAAAATTACTGATGAGCTGGGTATGGTGACACATGCCTTTAATCCCAGCCCTTGGGAGGCAGAGGCAGTCAGATCTCTGAGTTTAAGGCCAACCTGGTCTACAGAGTGAGTTCTAGGACAGTCAGGGCTACACAGAGACACCTTGTCTCAAAAAGAAAAAGGAAAAAAAAAAGAGAGAGAGAGAGAGAAGGTGATAGGTGGACCCCTTTCCTTTCCTGAAAAAGCAAAACAATAAAACACCTCACTTACTGCCAGCAAAATAAATGAGTAACTCTGAAAACAATGCGCAGAGAGAGTCAGAGAACAGTTTTGGAGTTGGTCTCTTCCCATCTTTGTGTGTTTTCCAGGAGTCAAGCTCAGGCTGTCACCTTTCATTGTCAGGCAATAAGTGGTTTTACTGCTAAGCCACCCTGCCTGTCCCATTTTTCTGTTTTGTTCAAACAGGGTCTCATGTTGCTCAGACCAGCTTCAGACTCACTATCTTAACATGACCTTGGGCTCACTATCATCAGTGTACTCTCTAGTGCTGGGGTTGCTTGGGTAGATACTTTGTTCTTGTATTTGGTTCTTTTATATGTGCAAGATAACTTTTATGTCTAATTTTTACAGACATTGGCTTGTTGTATGTGTGCACGTGTGTTGTGTGCACATATGTTGTGATGTGCGTGTGGAGGTCAGCAGAGTTTTGGGGAGTCCATTCTCCCACCCAGTGAGCTCCAGAGCTTGAACTCAAGCGATTAGGCTTGGCGGCAAGCTCTTCTGTATTTGGAGCCAGTTTACTGTTCCTTATGATTAAATGTTTAAAGGGATCTTAACATGTGTGCTTACCAACTTAATTAAAGGTGTAAATCCCCAAATTATTCTTGTTCCTGTCATTTCTTCTGCTGTCCTCTACTTTGTTGGCACTTCCCCAGTTAAATTAAGAGGCGCTCTTGCTGTTAGCCTACTCCCACCCAGGGATGAGCACATGAACGTAGTTTCACAGTTGGGAGGTTGCTTCTTGGCCTCTGTCATGTCGCAGTACCCCAGAGCCTTCCTGTTGTCCCTCTCATAACCTGCTGCTTTGTGCTTGTGCTTTTTTTCAGCCACACCGCCATACCAAATGTGCCTCTTCCAGGCTTGGAAGCTACCCATAACACCAACAGCAGTCACATGAGGTAAGCCTTGGCACACGGGCTGGAAGGGTGTGTGACCTAGGGCAGGGGAGAATAATTTATCTGTTGTTCTTAGATAGCATGGGTTGGGCATGACGCAACTCTTAACTTTTTGTCTCATTAATCTTACTATTTATAGGTCTCAGATAAACATCTCTGAGATTCGGTTGTGCTTTATATCAAATAATGAGGAGTGGGATTGTATAATTAGCACCATTTGCTTAACAAAAAGCCATTAGCCAGCTTATTAGAATCTCAAGCTGTTTTGGGTCCTGCCACCTCATCTGCATCAGCCCTAGACCCTGACTGCTGTTGGTCTCATTTGAACAGTGTTCATTTGTCCATTCGCTAAATTTCTTCTCACCAGTCTCCACTCATTTACACATTTCTTTATAAAACTGCTCGAACCACTGGAAATAATTGGCCACATTCTTGTAACTTTTCACATGTGTAGACCCAGGTTGTGTCTAGAAGTAACTAGAAAACAGGTTGACTGTAGATGTCATTCCTGGAAAGAAGAAACGTCATTGACTTTAATCTATATGCTCAGAAATAATATAGGCTGGGGTTATAGACAGCTCAGTCCATAAATTGACAACTTTGCGAGCATGAGGACCTGAGTTTTCATCCCCCAGAATCCACATCAAAAACCTTCTGTGTGGCACACACTTGTAATTCTAGTATGCAGGCAGGCAGAGACAGGCAGGTCCTGAGGCTCACTGGCCAGCCACCCTAGGCTACTTGGTAATCTTTAGGCCAATGAGAGACTCTATCTCAAACACAAATGGATGGGACAGCTGAGAAAGGCCATTGTCTTAAGGTTGTCTTCTGACCTCCACACACATAAGGACACACACGTGTACAGAAAAACTAAATAAAAATGTACGCTTGCTGGAAGTATGAAGCTAACCTTCTTCATTCTGTCTCCATGGTGCTAGGCTAGAGCCTGTGTTCCCTGCCTTGGTTCCAAAGTCTTGCTTGGTAACAGAACCTGCTGTCAGCAAGCTCCTGCTTTCAACCTCTGAGTTCCAGGTCCCTGGGTTTGATGAGCTGGATGATGTGTCAGCGGCATGCCCTCGACCACAGAGCAACTCTGCACAACAGAAAGAGGTAAGTGTAAAGTACCAAGACGTCAGGTGGAGGTGGCATTGGGGTTTCCATTGCTGACTCTCATCACATGGTAGGTGCAGACTTGACTCTAGCCTTGGCTCAGTAGCTGGGAGAACTAAGGCAGGAGTTTTCCTGCTTGGCTTCGGCCTTGACCAGGAAAGGATATGGTGTGTTTTTATGGGATTGTTCTCTTCATTTCAGTCTGTTTTCAGAGGTGGAGTCTTACCGTTTTCTCCTTCCTGACTTAAACTCCTGGATTCAAGTTGTCCACCTGGTCCACCAGGCAGGACTTAGGTATCTTAGGCCCTATTGTTATCCAGATCCATTTTTCTCAGCAGCACAACTAAAGAATATTGATAGAGGGACTTATCCCTAAGAGTCACTTTGCTTTGAAAGATGAGTAAATGATCATGTCCTTATGACTTTGAATTGATTATCTCAGTTGGAACTGTTCATCTCTGTTTTAATATATGAAGGAGCAATAACTGAAAACACAGCTACAGTAGGAAGGGGAAATTTGTCATTAGCTACCCTCCAGGCTTATCTATAAACTGAGGGAGCAATGTTTTGAGTATAAGGGCTTTATTTAAAATGAATTATCTTTATTTTTAACCCTTAAAAACAGGCTGAGCCAGAGAAGAGACCAAAGAAAGTCTCACAGATCCGAATTCGGAAAACCATTCCTAAACCAGATCCCAACCTTACCCCAATGGGCCTGCCTCGGCCCAAAAGGTGAGCTTCTCTAATGCAAAGTGGGTTCACTTTCTTGGAAAATTGCTAGAGAAAGCATAATTGTCCTTAAAGTGGTCATGTAATCCTAGCTATGTTTTTACTTGTAGGAATTTATGCCAAAGAATTCATTGATTGTACAGTTAAATGTTTATGTGCAAGATGTTTTACTACATTAATCATTTTTATTGTTCTTCCTCTGCTAGGTATTACGTGTACATAATCATAACTTAAACTCAAGTAAGAATCTAACCCTTGAGAGGCCAAGGCAGGAAGTGCTGCTCAAGTTAAGACCTTTGGGTACTTAGTGAGTACAAGGCCAGCCAGCCTTTACTACAGTGTGAGGTCCCCACTCAAAAGAAAAGAAGGGTGATAACACCCTGTCTCAAAACAGAACAACAAAAACCCACACATAATCCAGAAAAACCAATCTACTTAACAAGAAAAATTTTAAGTTTATTGATTTTATTTGTGTGTTTCCCTACATGTATGTATATGAACCACATGTTTGCCTGGAACACTCTTAAGGCCAGAAGATGGTATTGATCTCCTGGGACTGAAAGTATATATAGTTTATGAGCTAGAAATAGTTCCCATATGGCTGCTAGGAACCACCCCAGGTCCTGTGTAAGAGCAGCTAGTATTTTTAACTAGAATCATATCTCCACTTCCCCAATATACTTTTTTGTTTTGTTTTGTCTTTTGAAACAGGCTTTCTCTGTGTAGCCTTGACTGTCCTGGAACCCACTCTATAGACCAGGCTGGTTCAGACTCACAGAGATCCGTCTGCCTCTGCCTCTTGTCTGCAGGGATTACAGATGTATGCCCTCCTGTGATCCCAATAATTGGGATATGAAAAAGGAGGAAAAAGAGCTCAAGGCCATCCTCAAAGTTCTTCAAACCTATGTTCTCGTGTGCTGAGTCCAATATATGTTTCATTGGTTCCCTTAAGTAACTTATCTTTGGGTCAAGGGCCTGCTCAACTGGTCTCCCTTTATAGCCTTTAACCCACAGTCTTCCTGTCTTAGCCTCCAGCTGCTGAGATTACAAATATATGTAGTATCTTAAAATTCTTTCTCCCTACTGCTCTTTTTGTACTGCTGATGTATCAGAAGGTGTTGTGAATGGAAGCCTGTGAGCTACCTTTGAGCTGAACTTAGCTATTTTACCCTTTATTGACTACCCTCTGTGCCACCTTGAGAAATGCTTTGTGTGTCCCAGGTGCCCCACATCAAGTGGTGCTGATCGTGAGAATGAAAAGTAGATTCCAGTGTGGCTTACCTTCTTTCACTGTGCGTCTAATCTAAAAGCCTTGTTGACAGAGATGAGTAGTTGGAAACAAAGGCTCTCTGTTTCACTTTGTTTTGTTGTTTGGGTTTGTGGGTTTTGTATTTTTCTTTCTGGCTTTTTTCTTTGGTTTTTCAAGACAGGGTTTTTCTGTATTGCTTTGGAGCCTGTCCTCGAACTCGCTCTGTAGACCAGGCTGGCCTTGAACTCACAGAGATCTACCTGCCTCTGCCTCCTGAGTGCTGGAATTAAAGGCATGCACCACCAACACCAGGCTATATTTTTCTTTTTATAATGATATAAAATCCTGTCTTTATGTTGCTGTTAATTTTGGTTTTGTATACAAAGTAATGTGTCTCATCATGGCATCTTTATATATTTGTTTTCTTATACTTTATTCTCATTTCTTCCCCTTCTTTTACTCCCTCTTGTACCCAACTGGTTCCCTTACTGCCCCAGGAAGCCCTCCTTCTGTTTTTATATTTTATTACCCACATTTCCCACTTTCCTCACAATCCCACCCTCCCTCACGATCTCCTTTCTAGTTTTAATGCTTACGAGGGAAAGTCTGGTGTTAGCCTTGGACATTTGGATTTTTTGCATAATGAATCCCAGCTAAGTACATTTTTTTCTGTAGCCGGCTTTTTCTTTGGGTTGCCAACTCACAAAAATAGCATGGAGAGTTAATGTTAATTATAAAGCCTCGGCCTGTAGTTTAGGCTTGTTCCTAACTAGTTCTTGTAATTTAAATTAACCCATATTTTTAATCTATGTTCTTTTACATGGTTTGGTTGCCTTTACTCTGTACTGCCCATCCTGCTTCCTCTGCATCTGACTGGTGACTCCATCTCTCTTCCTCTGCGAGTCCTCTCTGTCCTCAGAAGTCCCACTTAACCTCTTTCCGCCTAGCTAATGGCCCTCAGCTCTTTATCAAACCAGTCTTAGTGACATATCTTCACACCGTGTAAAGGAATTTTCTGCAGCATATTCCCTATAAATATATAACTTCATTTTTTTTACAAATGAATAAAATTCTATTTCATATGTGTGTATACAGCATGTTTTCTTTATTATGTTAGTGAATATATAGGATGGTTGTATTTCTTTTCTTTTTTTGTTAAGATTTATTTTTTATGAGCATTGGTGTTTTGCCTACGTGTATATCTGTGTGAGGGTGCCAGATCTCCTAGGACTGGAGTTACAATTTTGAGCTTTCATATGGAAACTGGAAATTAAACCTGGGTTCTCTGGAAGAGCAGCCAGTGCTCTTAACTGCTGAGCCATCTCTCTAGCCTTGACATATGGCATTTCTATTTCAGTGTTTTGGAAAACCTCCACACTGATTTCCATGTTGGCTACAGAAGTTGGCACTTTGATCAGCAGTGCATAAAGATTTTAAAAGATTTATTTATTTATTTAGGTCTTTTGAGACAGGGTTTCTCTGTATTGTTTTGGAGGCTGTCCTGGAACTCACTCTGTAGACCAGGCTGGCCTCAAACTCACAGAGATCCGCCAGCCTCTGCCTCCCGAGTGCTGGGATTAAAAGCGTGCGCCACCAACGCCTGGCAAGATTTATTATTTTTAAATGGGTGTGTGTATGTGTGTGCACATATGAGTGCAAATACCTACAAAGACCAGAGGGTTCTGATCCCACTAGAGCTATAGTTATAGGCATGGGTACTAGGAACTGAAGTTTAGTCCTCTATAAGAGCAGCAGATGCTCCTAACTGATGAGCCATCTCTCTAGCCTATATTATGTCTGTCTTACTTCCTCACTTTCTGCCCTATCCACCTATCTCCCCATGTCTCTGTGGGTGATTTTTTTTCTGTAGTGGGCAATGAGACCAGGCTCTGTAACCTGCATTCATGGTAGCTCATTTTGTGTTGGCATAGTGTTTTCTCATGTGGATGTCCCAGGAGATGTGTTGTTAGTGTTCTCTCGCTGCTTGGCTGCTCACACTTTTAGGGTAATAGTGCCACTCCCTTGCCCTCTGTCTACCATCCTCACACTTCTTATCTGTGTCTTTGAGAAAGCCTTTCCTCCCATGTCCTTCCTTTGAAGATGGTGGAATCCAGGTGAATCCTCTGATTCTGAGTCCTTTTATAGTTTGAATTTTGCGGTTCCAGCGGGCTGGCTCTGTGTCCCCAGCCAAGTTGAACAAGGACACTGGACAACCACTAACACCACTCAGGAGAAGTGTAGGCATTCATCAGGGTACCCAAGTCTGTTAGACATGTCCTGGACATTCAAGACAGTTATTGGTCTCCATGTGGTGATGCTCCCTTTTCTACAAATCTATCCTTGGCAGTCTAGAATGAATAGATATTTGGCTGCTGTGAGCCAGGTAGAATCCCAGTAGCTCTTGTATGTTAGGCAGGAGTGTCATTGTTGGGGGCAAGAATGACTTTGAGTTCTTAGCTTCTGGGACTTTGGACCAGCCAACAGATCAAATGTCTTCCTCATCTCATGTCCGGAAGACTCCTCTGTGGAGTGGCTCTCATTGCTTTCTGGAGCTTGGGAGACGTGGGTAGTTGAATGAACAGGTGGACTGGGACTCCTTATATCTTCCTGAGGAATTGCTCCTTTTATTAATTTATAATATTCTTTATGTCTTCTGATTCATTTCAGTTAGAAGTCTACTTTATCAGATATTAAAATAATTATACCAACTTGCTTTTTGTTGTTGTTGTTGCTTTCGTTTGTTTGATAAATTGTATTTCCTCTGTTTTGTTTTTTAAGCTTTTCAAGACAGGGTTTCTTTGTGTAACCCTGGCTGTCCTCAAGCTCACTCTGTAGCTCAGGCTGGCCTTGAACACCAACAGACCCCTGCCTCTACCTCCCAAATTCTGGGATTAAAGGCATGTGCCACCACAGCCACGCATATTTCTGCCCTTTTAAAAAAGCTTAATTTTGTTTTATTTGTATGGATGTTTTGTCTTCCTGTGTGTTTCTGGACTGTGTGTATGCCTGTCGTTCATGGAGCCAGAAGAGGATGTAAGACTTCTGAGACTAGAGTTACAGATGGTTGTGAGACACCATATTGATGCTGGGACTCAAACCTGGGTCTTCTCCACAAGCATCCAGTACTCTGAACCACTGAGCAATCTCGCCAGCCTCTTGGCTTTATATTTTTGGCACCTTGACTACAATTTATTGCCGAGAGGGTCTTCTCTGGTTGTGTTTATTTGGGGTTCTAAGTGCTTCTTGCATTTGAATCTCTCATTCTCTAAATTTGTAAAAATCATGCTGTTTTCTTTACTGAGCCTCTGTATACCTATGTTAACAGCAAACTCACAAATTCTCTCACTCTCAAAATCTTTCTACCCCCTCTTTCACAATTTTCCCTAAGCCTCAAGTACAGGAGTTGAGTTGTAGATGGGTTCTGGCACTCCAATATCATTTTTATTCATTTTAACCAGATGTGATTTTCTGTAATGGTCTGTCTGTTGCAAACACAAGTTTCTTTGATGAGGGAGGAGTAAGAGCTATACGTAACTGTGGGTGTAAGGGTAAGCATTTAGATCCTGTTAAGAATCACACTGGAAGCCGGACAGTGGTGGCGCACGCCTTTAATCCCAGCACTCGGGAGGCAGAGGCAGGCGGATCTCTGTGAGTTCAAGGCTGGGCTGGACCGACAGCCTCGAAAACAATACAGAGAAACCCTGTCTCGTAAAAACAAACAAACAAAAAAAAAAAAGGCAGAGAAAGAATCACA